CCGACCTGTAGAAGAAAAATTTTTATATAATAAAGCAGACTGGTCGAAATATTTTTCTTTATCAGAAAGTATTTTTTCCCACTTAAATGTACATAATAATGTAAATAATGACACACCATTACAATTTTATAATAATTTTGTTAATATTTTATATGACATCAGAGACAAGACAGTACCAAAATCAAAGTTTAAACAAACTATACACACTTTAAGAAAACCAGTGCCTTGGTGGAACAAAACATGTGATGATGCTGTTCAACAGTCTAAGAGAGCCCTTTTACAATATAGAGTTACCCCAACAATTGTTAACTTCATAAATTATAAAAAAGTTGATGCTAAAAAAAAAAGAATTCTAAAGGAACAACGCATAGATTCCTGGCAAGAGTTGTGTAGTAGCTTCAATAGAATGACACCTATTTCAAAAATATGGAGTTCCATTAAAAAGTTTAAAAAGATAGGTACATCTTCCAACAAAAATTTTAATGATGACTGGGTACAAAGTTTCTTAGATATGTTGACAGCTCCATCACAATGCAATGATGCAAATTTAGTTGATATATTGAATCAATCTGATAAAAATGACAGTGACTCCTTTCTCAACAGACCCTTTACACTGGCCGAGCTTCATATTTCGCTTAAGAGTAGGAAAGATACAACACCAGGTTTGGACAATATTACATATAAATTAATAAAACAGCTACATCCAAATGCAATTAAAATACTATTAGATATATACAATAAACTTTGGGAGAATTTAATAATACCGGAATCCTGGAAAACCCAGTGTGTTATTCCAATTTTGAAACCAAATAAGGATATTAACTGTGCATCATCATATAGGCCCATTTCCTTGTCATCGTGTCTAGGCAAACTATTTGAAAACATGTTAAAATTACGTTTGGACTACTTTACTGAAACACAGAATAAGTTGCCAGATATTCAGTTTGGATTCAGAAAAGGCAAAAGTTGTTCTGAAAGCTTTGTAACTCTTATATCCATATTAAAAAAAGCAAAATTAAGTCATTCCAATGTTGTGTGTGTATTTTTAGATGTTAAAGGTGCTTTCGATAATGTAAATATAGAATCCTTAATTCATGTGCTACATAATTTAAATTTCCCCTGCAAAATATTAAACTGGATTTTTAATTTTTTAATAAACAGAACTGTTTATGTTAAGTATAATAATATCCTACATGGACCTAAATATGTTAACAGGGGAACAATGCAGGGAGCAACCCTGTCCCCTCTATTGTATGGCTTGTATACATCTGAAATCCTCAATTATGTGGATACTACAAAAGTTAACATACTACAGTTTGCAGATGATTTGCTTTTATACACTGAGAGTCAAAGTTTGCCTTTGGCTATAAATAATATAAATACTGCACTAAATCAATTACAAAAGTATTATTCAAATATTCTAAAACTAGAAATCAGTTCAGAAAAAAGCTCTGTGTTAGTATTTAGTAGAGATACATTCACACAAACTAATCTTAAAATTATGTATAATAACAAAATAATACCCATTGTCCATCAACACAAATTTTTAGGTATAGTTTTGGACAATAAATTAAAATTTGATAAACATATAGATTACATTTGTCAAAATGCAATGAGGAGCATAAATATTTTGAGATGTTTAGCAGGAACTTACTGGGGCTCTGATCCCAAAACACTCAATATACTGTATAAAAGCATAGTCAGAAGTCATTTTGATTATAGTAGTTTAGCCTATATGACTGCTAGTACCACGTTGTTGAGGAAATTAGATGTTATACAAAATATAGGGTTGAGAATCATTAGTGGAGCTATGCGTTCCACGCCTATAAATAGTATGGAAGTTGAAAATTGTATACCTCCATTGTCTCTAAGACGTTTGCAACTGGCAGAAAATTTTGTATAAAGGAATTATCTTCCAGTAATAGTATTGTGCTTAAAAATATTTTATATCCTGCACAGCTTTCTCAGTTAGTTGTAGGTTCCCCCATATCAGCATCTGTTATTATTTCAGGATCATTGCCTGAAATTTCAATAATAATGACACATGTTAAAAATGCTACAGGTGGAATATATATAAATGACAAATGGCCAGTATACAAATGTCCATATGATTCACTAATCTGTTTCCTTGACACTACATTTCATTTAGATTTAATATATAACAAATATGACTTTGCAGAATTTTTAAATAAGAAATCAGAATTTTATGTTATTTATACCGATGGTTCTAAAAATTTAAATGATGTTAAAGCAGCTTATTATGATCCACAAAAGAAATATACTAAATGTATTAAACTCAAAAGTAATTGCAGCATCTTTACAGCCGAAAGTTATGCTATATTAAGTGCTTTGTTATATGTTAATAACCTTGTAAATAATGTAAATATACTAATAGTTACTGATTCGAAGAGTGTATTGGAGACTTTATCCAGTGGCAATTGTACATATAAACAAAATTATATTATATATGAAATAAAAAATAGGTTAATAACTTTAAGTAAAAATAAGAATGTAGAATTTGTATGGGTACCCTCACACAGTGGCATACCTGGAAATGAGGTCGTAGACTTGGCAACTCGTCAACAATATGATGAAGATCAGACAGACATTTTGAAAGTGCCATTTACCGACTATTACCAATATTTTAAAAGTAACTTACGAAGAGTGTGGAAAGAGTACTGGAACATAACCACAGAAAATAAAGGAAAATGGTATGCAGAATTACAGCCAGACTTACCAGTGACACCTTGGTACAGCAAATTCAAATATTACAATAGAAAATTTATCACTATCATCAATCGTCTACGTTTCGGCCATTGTTTAGTTCCATCCCATCTCAACAGAATTAAAATCACAAATGACAACAGATGCAACCACTGTTTCAAGATAAATGCTGACATAAACCATATTATATTTGAATGCCAAGTTTTCAACATACAACGGTTGATTCTTGTCAGTGACATTAGTGACATCGCAAAGGAACACTCACAAAGTATTCCCCGCCGCGTTCAAGATTTGCTATCTCACTTTGCATATTTTATTCCAATATATAACTACATTGTACATACTGTGGAAAAAATTTAATATTAATGAATAATTACTAAAATTGTACTGTCTAAGCTTGTATAATAGTTTATTTCTTATGTTTTGTATTAAATTCATTATAAAAATGTATTCGACTGAAGGACTTGTATCCATGGTCATGAATAAAGCATTATTAAAAAAAAAAAAGCATTAAATATGTCAAGGATTAAATATGTTAAAGGAGCTCCTATGTGTAATATAAAATAATAACTTCTGTATTTCCTAATAATAATAAAACCACTGCAAACTTTAAAATATGTAGGTAATAATAAGGCCACTGTCTAAACTATTAAATAAAAAGTAAATTTATACCTAATTACTTACTTGAGGCTTTCATTGTTTTCCATGTCTTTTTTTTACGATTATAATAATGTACCACAACAATTTCAAACTATAACCATGTAATATTATGTTATCTGTGCTATAACTATAACCTTTCTCAGCATAGAAAAGCAAAGGAAATTCATAATTCATTAGGATTATTGGACACTGACGATAAGGATGTATACAATATTAATGAATTATACACCTCAAGGGATTTGATTTTTGAAGAAGTGACAGGTTGTAATTGAGAGTGTGTCTCTATGTGTACGTATTAAATTTATGAGAATAAATCGCAATTAATCTGATTAAGATGTAAAAGTTACATATGAGCGTGTGTGTGTGTATATGACTTAAGACATAAATAATTATGTCAAAATATTAATACTAATATAGGTGAGGTTAACAGCAGCTATTGAACTGGTCACATATATTTTTGAAGTGCCATTATATCTTTCTAACATGCGGACTGGACCGTCTTTTTCATTCTGTCATTTTTGGAGTACTATATTTCGACGATTATATCGATATGTTCCCACGTGATATTAATTGTTTTCCTTGTTTTATTTATTAATATGATTAATTATATTCGTATATTCCGAATTCCTCTAATAACACTAATAAATATTTCTTGGATTTCCTTTCCTTTCCTAATATAGCCCATATTTCTAATTTCTATCCTCGCTGCTCGAGAACTCCGCTCCAAGTTATCTTTTGTCAAGAGTTTTTTTATATTATTTTATTAATTATGTATCTATGTATCTAATAAATAAAACAATAGTACTAAATTTAAATTCTTTAAATTTAAGTACTAAACGTTAAACGTTTGGTACTAAAACACTCCTTACTATTTTATTCTGAACTGAAGTTAAATTTATGTGAAAAAGTCATATCTCCGATTATAAGTTAGGTACCTCAAAATTAAGATCTAAATGTGTGCAAACCAGTGTTTTATCTATATGTATTTATATTTTAATATCATTAATAGCGTGTCGACAATATTAATAAAAAATGCAATAACAACTAAGAAAACAACTGTGAGTCACACGCATATATCGAGCGTCGTGACCACATATGGTAATAAACAAGACCGTTATTCTGTGAGTTATCTTCCTTTTGGTATATTTATTATATAGAGTCACGTGGGGCAAGTGTGCGCACTTAAGGTTTGAAGTATCATATAATAAAATATTTGAAGTTAACTGGAACAAAACAAGGTTTATTATATAAAATATTTAATAATCAACAACTTAAACGCAAAATAAATAATTATCATTCACACAAATTCTTTGGAAATCAACAAAATCAAAACTGTTTAAATGCGCACACTTACCCAAGTATAGGGGTAAGTGTGCGCAGTAGTGCGGGTAAGTGTACGCAACATGTAACATACAGTAAATAGAGTCAGACTCATATGATAAACCACAAAATAGACATCTTCAACCTAATAATACATCAGTTCAAATAATTCCTTTTCAAAGTTATTGCATTGTTCATGCCACCAGCTCTTACAGATGCTGTATTGGATCCAGTCTTCATTCGGTGGAAATATGTATTTTTCTCCACACAGTGGGCAAAATAATTCCTGCTCATCATTTTATTTATTTTCAGATCAAGTCGTATCTTCTTTTTTGGCAATTTATTCTTCCTCTTGTTTTTTGTTTTTCCAATTCTACTTTATAAGGACTTACAGTATCAATGATTGACTTTTTGCCTTTCTTTCGCCGATTTTGAATCACAGTCATTCATCCAAGAAATGCCTAAGGCCAACTTCGGTATTTCTTGGATGGATGACAGTCGTACATATTCATTCCTAGACGAAGGTACACTCATTATTGCGGGTGCCACACTGTCGTGTGCTACCAACCTCCGAAATTAATCTTTTAACAGCTTCTAGCTGTTCCTCTGTGACAACACTTCTATCCGGCATTTCTTTTATAATCGAGGCATTTTTTATGTATAATTAAACTCTGAAATAACAAATTGCATAATAAATACAAAGCCAAAGCGGAGCGGGGTAAGTATTCGCATGCGCACACTTACCCGACATTCGTATGCGCACACTTACCCCAAACCATCAAAATAAAATTTAACCAGAACTGAGCAATATTACATAATCATCATCACCAAAAGATTAAACACGGCTTATATTACATAAAATGTACTGTTCGATGGTATAAAGCATGATTTCAAAATATAAATATATTATAAAGGAATGAGTCTCTCATTTAAGACAAAAATCGCAATATTTCAAGCAAAAAACAATACTCACTTACGGAAACAAAATGGTTCACCGGCGGACAGTGAAAAAGTTGCACTAAGTATAGCCTTTTGTGCGCTAATGAGGAGGGGTGTTATCAGTTCGTACCTATAAACCGTTTTTGAAATACTTCGAGTGCGTACACTTACCCGCTGCGCACACTTGCCCCACGTGACTCTATAGCGTTAAAATATATAGAGGTACACTATATTCCAGAACGGAACTAATCCGGAAGTCATTGCGAATTCTTTTAATAAACAACTTCATAAGTCTTCCCACCCAACAAAATCACCTATAAAAAAAATATCACCGTAAATCTATAACGGCAGTAAGCAATAGCCTTTTCTTTATCCTTGTACTGAAATTGAAATATACCTATAGAATATTGATAAGTCTAATACCAAATCAGTAGGATTCGACAATATATCGACTTACGTATTAAAGTCCTGTGCAACAATTCTCACTACAGTATTGACATATTACATTAATATGTCTTTTACAAGTGGCACATTTTCTACCAAACTAAAGTACTGTATAGTGAAAGTAAGTACGGACCGCTAAAACAATATAAAAACATCACGTATTCAGTGACGATTTTGGTGAGGTTAGTCTCGCAGACCCAAAATTATGGAATGCATATTCGTTTCAACGTTGCTGAATGAACTGACAGCATGGACTGGGATTCTAGTCTCACCATTTATATATATCACTGTAAACGTTTAAATAACCCTCTGATTGATCCCCTATCCAATTCAAATGGGGATCGAAATTACGATGGCTTGAGCCGAGGTTCGTACCCCTAGACTAAAGTCGTATCCATCAGGCGGGAATTGGCCTTCAGCCGCTCCATAAGGCCTTCCGCGGGTTTGGACGGCCATCTGCACTCACCCTCTATCGTGCGGTAAAGCTGTAAAGCCAGCTGCGACCAACAGCATTAGAGTAGTGCGAAAAAAGAGGTTTAAATGTAACCATAACTATAGCTGCTTCGCTATAGATAAGAAATAAAATAAAAAAATAACCTATATTGTACTCCCTAAAATAGAATTGAGCGCAGTGGTGGTTGGTTTGGTTCGATGGGTCAGCAGTGCTAAGATTGATTTATTTTGTTACTCAAATAGCTGTTATATTTAGGTAGTAAAACTACTTTTCTCAGTTTTGCTATTTATCAGTTTGTATACATAAATATTCAATAGTGAAAAAGTGCTTATATTAAGATTATGTATTTCTATTTCTACATGTAGTATCATCTACAGTCTATGCACTTACAAGTTGCAGGTATAAAAATATCTGAAAAGTAAGCAGAAGTTTTATATATAGATATATTACATAAAAAACAGTAATTCTAAAGTAAATAAAGTAGTAATTCAAATAATCTAAAGTAAACACAATTTACGTCTAAAGTTAACAAATATGATACATGTGTATTATTGTGTATATAAAATTTCGGCGACGCGCAGGGGCAGCATCCGGCCACTGCGATTAAATTGCGACGCAGTGTTCGCCGGCCATTATTATTAACACTTCCAATGATGATGACGTCAGCATTCTGTAGAATATAGTCAAGCGAGTTCATTTTGCGATCGTCAAAACGAGCAAATTTCACATGATACTGCCCGTTAGTGACGGTCACAAACCAACTTCGCTTAACAAAGAAATCTTCGGTGTCCCCATCATCGTACCTTCTTTCTTCTTTATTAACGACTACAAGTAGATACTACATAGAAATCGACACACGAGCCATATTGTACCATATACATATACCTACCTCACACATTACGTTTGTAATGGATGATAATGGTACTGCGAAAATCACATTGAAGTCGCTTATGCCCAATGATGCCAATAGAATGCACAAACTACACAAAGCAAACGAAAAAACCCTATTTTTAACTTCTAATGTAGTAGGTCTACATTTATCAGAAGTTAAAAATAGGATTTTGTACGCAATAATAAGCACTAACATTTTCATACACATGAACATGGCACATCATATAGAAATAATATATATAATACACGAAATGTAAATTGTAATGTGCAGTGTAAATTTCCTTGTTTTCATAAAAGTGATTTAATGAAAATAGTTGATTCTTATGCCTTGGTTTTTAAAGTAACAATAGTTACAAACTAGGAATCTTTTACAAGGATACATTAAATTTAAAGATTAAAAATACATTTTTGTTAATATTACTTTTATGTATTATGTTCATATTCAGCCAAGAACCATAGCACATTAGCCCATCGTGACAAAATCATCAGGAATATATCACGATGATTTCCAGGGGAAACCGCGTGGAGGTCAACCTGACATGGTACATTGCTAGCAGTGAGATTCATATTACTTCACATTACTAACAATCCTCTTTCCCCCCTAATTATTATTATTATTATGTTCATATTTTACTAACATATTTTATAAGTAATTTAAGAACATGATATGGAACATACAAATTACACAACATTTTGTTAGTATACTTGTTAGGCAAAGATGTAACAACTTGTAACCACTGTTAGTGTAGTGCTACTAAATATATTGTAATAAAATTAGGATTTTACTAACATTAGATTTAAAATATGTAAATTACTAACAAATGGGCCATTGATGTCATAATAAACAAATATTATTATATTATTATAAATATCCGACAGAAACAAATGATAATGACTAATAAATAAACACATGAAAACAGTTTAGAAGCTTGCATTCTTTATCGATCACGCGTCACTTGTATGTATGTTCACACAAGTCGATATCGGCATTGTGTATGTAGTTGGAGATATCACATCAACATTTGTATTGTATTACTATTAATAATTTACATTTTACATTGTCCCTTGGTACCTAAACTAAGTAGAACCCTGTTTTACGTACCAGTTCCCTCCTCTTACAGTTTACAATTATTGGAATTACAATTGACCGAAAATATAACACAAAGAGAATCAATAGGCATAACATATAAACAAGCCCTAACAGACAATCAGTTACTTGCAGTGTCTCTGTACGTAGATGTATGTGAATGTGAATGTGAATAATATTCATACATTCATATTTGTTTATTCATAAAATTATTGGTTGTTTACAATTGTAATTATTATTGTATAAAATTTATGTAATTATTAGCATAGACGCATAGATACTTTGTACCACAGCAGTTATTTAGCCGCCAAGGAGTTTGCTTTGTAAGTTTTGAATGTGTTTCAGTTGTAGGGGGAGATATTACAATGAAATTGTAAGTTGTAAAAAATCTGATAAAAATCTGGCATTAGCTCAATTTAACCTCGTACATCGTATTTCGTAGGTCGAAATCTCGTACAAACTTGTACAATAACGGAAGAATTCTCGTACCGTAGACCAAAATCGTATAGCCCACGAGCAGCTTCTTTCAGCTTTATTAAAATAAAACGTAAGTTTATCTATAAAATAATATAGTTTAGGGGGGTCCGGCGGGGGGTTGGAACTATACTAAGTGTCTGGCAATGAGCAACGCAAGTTATAATACTATGCCTATCTATAAAGGGGAGTTAGGGGGAATAGGCATAACCTTTTGAAATTACCTACGAGCGACCTAACAAATCAGCAGGTATTACTAGGGAGTTTCTATGCACTCACAGAAACCCCTTGGACGTAGCGTATGCCCTGAGAGAAGTATACAATGGGATATACTCGACCAACGTCCGGACTAGGTCGCTGAGGCTCATGGAATACGACAGCAAGGTCATACCATCGGACCAAAACAGGACTCTATACCTGGTTCATACCCAAGCGGAGAAAGCAAAGCTAATATCCGAGGGATATGGAATGGACGAGGAGACTAAAGTGCTGACGATTCATGAGGCCCAGGGACTGACATCGGAGAGGGTTATTATCATCAATACTATAAGTAAACCCTTGGAAGTGCATGGCAGCTACTCTCATGCCGTGGTAGCCATCACCACACACACACACACAGGCGTATATTATACGAGAAATCGAGAAGACGCAGTTGCTCGTTTTATACAAGAGGCCGAAGGCGCGACTCACTCGGACATTCGTGAGTACTCACTGCAGATGGCGATTAAAAATAGAGACAGGGCGATCGTTGATGCGCTGATTGCGCTAAAATAATCAGCACATAGAAAACCGGAACAGCTGATGCATCGGCGGGGCGCTTTGGACTGGAAAGGCCGGAACATGCTCGCTAAAAGTATAATAAAAAAAAAAGGAAAAGAAAAGGAAAAAAAGGGGATAAAAAAAAATTGCCGAATTACGACAAAAAGTGAACTGTGAAATTAAACAATCAATAATTAAACAAAACCTGGACTATAACAAATAGTGAACTTTGAAAATAATGTTAAAATAAGATTTCATATAATTGTATATGCAGTGTAAGAATTCATAATGTAACAATACAACACCATGTAATGAAAACTGTGAAATTAGTAGTAGTGTAAGATTTATATAATGGTATATGCATATTGGTAAATCTAATCCTCCTAATAAAGATGGGCGACACTGCATGTTGTCAACTCACCCGGCCGGCCAGCGGTGGTTCTGGGCCAGACGGATAAGGTCTGCCTCGGTGTCACTGTTAGGCAAATTGTAACATCTCGGCTGGAGATGTTATAAATATAATAATATTAAAGTAAATTAAAAAAGGCACGGACGAATATGTCTTTCTCAAAATTGTATTTAAAAATAAAAAAAAAAAGTTATAATACTGCTACAAACAATATATGGAAAAATGGAGCATCTTAAAATAACGAATTTGATTTGAAATTGTATACACCGTTGTTACCCAATACACGGTTTCAATGAGTCTGGTAGGATGAAGAACCAAGAAAACTGTCTGGTAATTTAGGAAACTCAGTTTAATAGTTCTCTCAATAATATATATAAAGTTCAGCTTTATTAAAATAACGTAAGTTTATTTAAAAATAGTATAGTTTAGGGGGGTCCGGCGGGGGGTTGAAACCACACTAAGTGTCTGGCAATGAGCAGCGCAAGTTATAATAATGCTACGAACAATATATGAAAATATGGAGTTTCTTAAAATAACCAATTTGATATGAAATTTTTTACACCTTTGTTACCTGTTACCTGCCAAAGGAAACACGATCCAGGTTTAATGTTTGGGGATCGTTCTTACCTGTGTTGGAGACACACATACAAGAACTTTCACGTTTACTAATAAGACGTAAG